TGTTATCTTGTTTATCACCTCCATTGGGATGTGATGATGCCCATCTTGCCATTTTATCCCTAGGAATTGAATTTCCCTTGCAGGCCCCTTAACTTTCTTTTGCTTAATGGCAAAGCCGTCCTTCAGGAGGATTTCAATTATCTTCTTTCCCTTTCTCAAATACCTCCTCGGCTGTATTCCCCTACACAATGATGTCATCAATATACTGCAGGTGTTCTGGAGCCCCACCTCTCTCCAGTGCAGTATGGACCAGTCCATGGCAAATGGTGGAGCTGTGGTTCCACCCCTGGGGCAACCAATTCCAGGTGTACTGGATGCCTCTCCAAGTGAACGCAAACTGTGGCCTGCACTCTGGCACTATCGGAATGGAGAAGAACGCGTTAGCAATGTCAATCGTGGTGTACCACTTGGCTGCCTTCAACTCCAGTTCATACTGGAGCTCTAGCATGTCCGGCACTGCAGCACTCATTGCTGGCGTAACTTCATTCAGGCCACGGTAGTCCACAGTTAGCCTCCATTCACCATTAGGCTTCCTCACTGGCCATATAGGACTGTTGAAGGGGGAGTGAGTTTTGCTGATCACCTTCTGGCTTTCTAGTTGATCGATCAGCTGATGGATGGGGACCAGGGAATCTCGGTTGGTGCGGTACTGCCACCGGTGCACTGTCCTGGTAGCAATAGGCACTCGCTGCTCCTCAACGTTAAGCCGCTCCACCACTGAGGGATCCTCTGAGAGGCCGGGTAAGGTGGACAATTGTTCAACCTCCTCCAGGGCAGCTACACCAAAAGCCCACCGGTACCCTTTTGGGTCTTTGAAGTACCCTCTCCTGAGATAGTCTATGCCCAGGATGCACGGGGCATCTGGGCCAGTCACAATGGGGTGCCTATGCCAGTCCTTCCCAGTCAGGCTCACTTCAGCTTCCAGTAGGGTCAGCTGTTGGGATCCCCCTGTCACTCCAGAGATGCAGATGGATTCAACCCCACTGTAGTTCGATGGCATCAGAGTGCATTGTGCGCCAGTGTCCACCAAGGCCTTATACTCTTGGGGGTCTGACGTGCCAGGCCATCGGATCCACACTGTCCAGTAAATCCGATTGTCCCTTTCCTCCACCTGGCTGGAGGCAGGGCCCCTCTAATCTTGCTCATCATCACTCACTTCTTGCAAGAATGACTTACAGGTCCCCTCAAGAGGGTCAGACATAACGTTCATCATTCTATTCTGTCTGGGGTATTTCTGACTGGACACTGGAGCTGCGCTCTTCTTGGAGGACTCCCCTTTTGCGATGGCCTTCCCTTTCAGCTGCTCTACTCGTGCAGCTAGGGCAGCAGTGGGCTGTCCATCCCACCTCCTCATGTTCTCTCCATGGTCACGGAGAAAAAAACACAGGGTGCCTCGTGGTGTGTGCCTTCTGCTGCCTTTTTCTTGGGTGGGGAAACATTTACTTCTAATGGCTGAGACATTAGCCTGTGCAAGTGGAACGTAGGACATGTCCTCTTCCATCTTCTGGACCCTCTGAGACAGTTCCTCCACAGCTGTGACCAGGGAATGGTGAGATGAAGGGAGATTTCCCTCATATTGCAGGAGCTTGCCAACCACTCCATCCACTGTTAGAGCGTGGGTGTCTGTCCACCAGGACACTATTGCCAATGCTTTCGAGTGTGCTTCTGGTGCGCTCTTCAGGAACTTTCGCCACATCAGGTGTGTGCAAGGGGCCTGATCTGGGTCCATGGGTGACTGCTCATTATTCAGATCACCATAGATCATCTCAAACACAGCCAGTTCCCTGAGGCTCTGGATGCCCTTCTCAATGTTGGTCCATTTGCTCAGCTGACATAGGATATCATCCTTGTAGGGGTGCCTCTCCCTGACACTGAACAGGAGTTGCTTCCAAAGGCTGAGAGTTTGAGCCTGTTTCCCTATTTCCCTATCAGTGCCAGCATCCTTGGCCAAAGATCCCAGCTGCTTGGCCTCTCTCCCCTCCATCTCAAAAGCACTGGCTCCATTGTCCCAGCATTGGAGCAGCCAGGTGCAAATCTGCTCACCTCCCAGACGGCCGAAATCTCTACGTATATCTTGCAGCTCAGTCGGGGACAGAGATCGGACAATCACCTCTGGTCCTTCCTCCTATTCCCCTGATGGGCCTGGCTCATCCTCATCCCTCACTCTGCGAACAGACTTTCTGGTATATTTTGTTTTCTGTATTGGGGCGACTGACACTGGCACTGCCTGGCTCTCTGGCTCAGTCTGTGTGCTGGTGGAGGCGACTGAGACTGGCTCTGCCTGTGCACCCGGTTCAGATACTGTTTGTGTGGCCTTTTCTTCCTGTTGAGGGCAGCGGGTGGTATTAAAGAGGACATGGTATGCATGGGCAAGTCCCCAACACACTGCAGTATGTCTCCTGGGTTTTGCCAGTTTGGTAACACACCCTTTCTAAGCACTCCATCAGCTTCTCAGGGCTTTGCATTTGCTCAGGAGTGAAATTCCAAAGCATTGGGGGTGCCCACCGACTCAGGCCTTTGCCCATCTTTTCCCACACCCCTTGCCACTCACTATTATCTGGACTCGGGGCAGGTTTCCGGGCACTGCTGTTGTCAGAGAAATACCATATGGCCAAAACCGAAAGTAGGCAGACATTCAGAAGGCACTGTGCCACAATCACACTGGCCTGCAGGCTCCATGAATAGTTAAAACTCCCCAAAGCCGAGAGGATCTCTTCCCCTGGTTCACCCACAGAGGGGGTGATACCCCTAACAAAAAACCAAGCGGCAAACAGGTACCGGCCCACCCACACACACAGCGATACAAAGGCATTATAAGCATTCAATAGCCAGTATAACAACATAAGACCCTTTGCACATTTTCCACTGATAACAAACAACACCACTGGGGTTATACACTGGATATAAGGGTTAATCCAGCCCCCCCATGCAAGCAAATGGGCCAGCATTGCAAACATTTTCTTATCAAACAAACACAAATACAAACAGAAAGATTACACCCAACAGATTGCTCTACCACACTCTGGTCAGCATCTGCCCCACGTTGGGCGCCAATTTTTAATGTACAATTCCTGTCGGGATGAGAGAGCACGTTGCCGTTGCCCCTCCCCCACCCGCGCTGGTTGGGCTGGAAGTTAGACACAAACCCCAGCTAAAATAACAAGAAATTTAATACAACAGTGATAGAACAATCTGAATAACATCAGTATCAATGGTAACAACAATAAACAGCAATAACTGTGAACAAGACAAAAGATATACAGAGAAATACTGCTAAATGATCAAGGAGCAAACCCGCCGCATGTATGGCAAAAACCAACACCAGAAGCGAAAGGTGAAAAGGCTCCGCCCCTGGACCTGACGTCAGCATGGTATGAATAACCCGGCCGGAGATCCCTTCCCCCTCTCTCTCTGCTGGGGAAAACTTTATTCTATCCTGGCTGAACCAGGACACGAGGGCTGTCATGATCATGCTAGTGACATCATCCCATGAAACACCTTACCCCTCCCCGTACATGGGATACGTAGGTCTGTGGGTCGACCTAGGGGACGGACCCAAGGGAAGTGGGTATAAATCAAAGAGGAGAAGAAAGGGTTCTCTCTCTCTCTGCTCCTCTCCCTGTCCGTCCCCCCCCTGCCCCCCCGGCCATCTGGAGAGAGCAGTGAAGCGAAGTAGACGGATGCCAGCAAAGAAGATGGCCGCCTCCTGGAACCCTCGCCGGCAGGATTAGTGCAGGAACCCAGACCAGTGATCTGTATTCCCCCATTCCCTCTATCTCCCTCTTTTCCTTTTTCCATTAAGAAATGCAAGACATATCATATTGCTCGCCACAACTTGCTCTGTACTTAGCCAATTATCATGTGTTCAATTAGTACATTGTAGGTAGTTAATAAATGCTTGAACTTGGAGACCTGTTGTCTGCTCCAATTGGGGATTTGCGAATCTGAGTCACTTGTCCCCCTCATCGGAGCAGGACGTGACAAGGTGTTAGGTGCATTAATTAATGAAGAGTTGCTTTCTTCTTTACCCTGGTGGCTGTGGGTCCTGCAGTCCCTTCACATTCAATGAGAAGGGACTAAGGACAGTACCCAGGGGAGGGGGCCTACCTATTGCTTGTGAGTGAGTGGAATCTGGTCCCAAGGTCTCTTAGACCCTTTTTGGGTCCCTGGGAGGTCCCAGAGAACTCCCACACTGTTCACAGGGCTGCTGTGGACTTCTGGATGCTCAGGGCTGTTGGTGACATTTCCTATTATCCCAGAAGGTAGTCAGCCCCCACCCAGGGCTGCATGAGGTCCCTGGGCTGATCCTGACCTTGCCTACAGCACCCTGAGGTGACCCCAGTGTGGCTGGGGCAGAGGGCTGGGGCCTGTGTGGGTGGTGCTGGGGGTCCCTGCTGCTTTCTTCTTTTCGTTGCTCTCCATATCTGTCCATTTGTTCTTTTCCCCCTAAAACTCACCCATTTTCCTTCTTGTGGACCCCAGGGCTTCTCCCTTTACCTTGAGCAAGCTGCTCTTGGGAGCTGGGGCCCACTCTGCGGCCCTGGTAGCCCTAGCTGTCCCCGGAGGGGCTGATGGTGATGGTTCCTGTTCCCGAGCAGCTACAGCTATGGATGGGGAGGCTGGGGATGGAAAGCCCCAGGTGCAGCCATGGGGCTCACAGCCATGGCCTCTCTCCATCCGAGACACTGGAGTTGAGCAGGGGCCGTGGAGCTTGGGGTGGCTGTGCAGGGTCTGTCTGAGACAGCGGAGCCACTGCCAAGCATCGCCTGCTGGGACGGGGCCTGTGACCACGACTGCAGAGGAAGGAGAGTAGGGGCTGGGTGTCCTGGGGAGTGTGAAACAAATGGTGGGAGGGCAGCACACTGGGACAGGGGAGCTGTGCTGGGAGTGTGAGGAACCGCTGGGGTGAGGGGTAGCTTGACACCATGAAAAGGGAGAGGGGGTGCACGCTGGCCACCTGTGACCGACCCCAGTTCTTCTCCTCCATTGCAGACCACCCTTCCCAGCAGCTCGCAGCCCTGCCCTGCGCCTCCGTCACGATCCAGAGCTGCTCCAGACCCCCACGCTGTGGGCAACCCCCACCTTCCCATGGCTCCACCCTGACCCAGGTCCTTGCCAGCACTACACCAACCCCTCAGGGAGCCCCCACCGCCCCCCTTCAGGAGAGCCAGGGCACCCCTGCAGAGCAGCAGGAGGAGACAAGGGCCTTGTAATGCTTCACTCCTCTTTTCTTTAACAGGTGAACTGCCCTGGCTGCAAGCCCACAGTAAAGACAAGAGAAGGTGTTGGTCAACCAAGGTGATGAACACAAGATCCAAGGAAGATGCCCTCTGCACAGTCCGCAGCAGGCCAGACTGCCACCATGCGCCCAAGATTTGTGTGCGTCACCCAGGTGTGGTCCAGCCATGCCGTGAGCAAGGCTGTATGTGTAGGAATTGTTGTCTTGTAAGAGCTGAGAGACACCTGTGTATTCTTTTAGGTGGAGAACAGCCAGGCGACTGGAGCTACAGAATAGGAAGAGAAGAAAGAAGGAGAAAGTAGGGTCTGAACTGGCAAACTTTCCTGGCAGTGCTGAGAGCTACAGCTGCAGGGAGTCCTGTGCCCTTGGGACCCTGTCACCTCTCCTATGCATTTTGGGCCCTCCCCTCTCCCCCTCTCTATCCCACACTGGTGTGGGGTTTTTTTTTTTTTTTTGGTTCCCTTTACCTCTGCTTTCCTCTCTCTTCTACTGTCCTGCCCCCTCCCCCCTTTCTCTGTCTTCTTCTAGCTCTCTCTGTTCCTTTTTCTCTAGATGCCTTTGTCTTGCTCCCTCTCCTTCCTTTTTTTCATCCTCTACCTCTCTCCTGTAGCTGTTTTTTCCCTTTTCCAGTTCTTTGTCCTGATAGGCATCGGTCTCTTTTCACTGACAACTTCTCTGGCCTGTTCCCTGGTGTTCTTTTCCAATCTGTGCCTGTCTGTGCCGCTCCATATCCCTGCCTTCCTATTTCCCTCCCTCCTTCTCTTCCTGCCTCTATCCTGTAATATTGCACATGACCCCCCCCACTCCTTTATCTCCCTGTCCCCATCTTCCACCCTGTGCTCCGTCTCAGCTATTGATGGCTTCATCTCTCTGTCTTATTCTCTGTTCCTGTCTTTTCTCATGCTCCACCTCTGTCATTCTATCTGTTGCTCTTGTTGGATCTAGGCCAGCATCCTGCTCTGTGTCCCTCTTTTCCACAGTCTCCTGCTCCCTATCCCTCACCTGTCTTCTAGATCCCTCTGTCCCTTCTGTCTCTCCTTGACTGTCTAGTTTGCTGCCTCGCACTGTTCTTTCTTTCTGCATGTCTCTGCCTCAGTCCAGCTGCTCTACCCATTTCTCTCTCTAATGTTTCTTTCTCCATCTTTGCCTCACACCCTTTCCCCTTTCTCTTAGTTCCTCCATCCTCTCCCTAACCATTTAACTGTGTATTGCCATATCATGGCCTGTCCCATTGTCTCTTACTATATTCCCTTGTCAAGCTCCCTGTCCCTTTATTCCCTTCTGCCCTGCTCCCTGCCCCTTTTCCCTCATCCTGCAGCATATCACAGTTTTATCTTTCTCCCTCTCTTTGTCTGTCTGTCTCTCTCTCACTCTGTCAACTCTTCTGGCTTGTTCACCATCTGTTTCCCTCCTCCCACCTTTCTTATTCCCCTCATTTGATTTCTCTCTCTTTCTGTCCTTTCTGCTCCCCACTCATCATTTTTTCTTTCCCTCTCTCTTACTCCCTGACCCTGTTTTTCTTCTGCCATGCCCCAGCAGGACTCCTCATCCCTTTTATAGTGATTTCTCCTTCTCACTGTCCTTTTCACTTAACTTTCTTTCTCTGCTCCTCAGTCCTTCATCATCATCTTATTTTCCTCTTTATTTTTTCCTTATGTTTCTCATTTTTATCTTTCTGTTTCAAAGGGTAGATTTATTCTTGTTACCTGTCAACGTGGGGGATCTCCCCAGCAGCACTGTGGCAGAGGCACACAAGCAGGTACACAGGAACTGTGGAGCTCAGTCCCTGCAAAACAGAAAAAGAAGAAATAAATAAAAGATCTCCGACCTCAGTCTCTATGGATGTCTATCGCTGTGCCACCTCCCTGCTGGAAACTGTGTCCAGATGGACATCGAGAGCTTCTGCACCTCACCTATCCTTTTCATTCAGCTCTTTTCTTGCACTTTCCTTTGTCTGTTCCCATGCGGGAGACAAGCAACTCAACATCAGCCTGTCAGCCCTACATAGCCCCTGAGAAGCAGCTCGGCTTTGATGAGAAACAGGCCTTGGAAGAAAGATGAGAAACTGCTGAGTTGTGCCAAGGTGTCACGGAAAAACAACAGACAGCTGCAACACTGAGCTGTGGGAAAGTCATGAACTGTGAGAAGTTACTGCCACGTGAGCAGCGTATGCATGAAAAGTTGATTGATCTGCACAGTGTGTGTTAGAGTGGTCTTATGCTGATTTGCTAATTATGAAGTAAGAGCTTTAACCATAGCATAAATATGTACTAAATATGTAATAGTAAAGGGTCTTTCCTTTTGCACTTCACGGAGAGTCCGTGCCTTAATTGCCACAGGTATGGAGCTGAGTCTGGGAATGGATGAGGAGACAGCTGAGCTGAGAGGGAAGAACAACATGGGCAATGCTGTGGTGGGTGGATGTCTGGCCTGTCCTCCAGACCACCTGGTCAGGAAGAGGAAGTAGATGAGGCCGCCTTCAAACAACTGGAAGAAACATTACACTATCCCCATATCTGCCAAAGGGGCAACAGCGCAAGGTGCAAGCCACACAGGCTGCTTTTGGAGCCTGTTAATTTGTCCTGAAAAGGGTGACTGAGGAGGAAGTGAGGTGAGGTGCCCTGTGAGACTTGATACTTAGAAACAAGGAAGAGGCGATCAGGGATGGGACAGTCAGGGGTGAAAAGGTAGATCTGAAGCTCCTGAGAGAAGGGGACAAGGCTTCATGAGAGGAGCCTTTGGCCTGCTGAGGGACTTGAATGGAAGAATCCCATGGGATAGCACCCTGCAGAGGAGTGTAATGAAGTCTTTGATGGTCAAGGATCTCTCAGGTGCAGAAGGCTCCACCCTGACATGCAGGAAGTCATGCAAAGGTGACAGGAGGCTGGCAGGGATGAGAAAGGAGCTCCTGACTGAAATGAAGCATGAAGAGGCAGCACAGGGAAGGTGGAAGCTGGCTGCCTTCCAGCCTCAGTGGTTCTGTGTGATGGAGAGAGACATTATGAAGGGTAGAGGGGGGCGGGGGGTGGTGGTGTGTGTGTGCTTGTCTGTGCATGGAGGGATGAGGGGATCCCAGGGCCAGGTTCTGGATGGACAGATGGTGTAAGTCCAGCTCTTGGAGGGATCCATTTTCTGTGTGTGTCTATGTAGGTACATATCTTGCAGTAACAGAGTACAGCATAGCAACAGCCCACCCTTGTCTCCCTTTCTCCACTGACTGTGGTTTTGACTGGCCTAGAAACCTTTCCTTGCACCCCGGGTCTTCTGTTGACAATAATGCCTGTGTGGGGCAGGGAGGCTGGGCCAGTGCAGGGACAGGGCTGGCTCTGATGGGGACCAGGAAGCAGCTGCAAGGAGGTGACAGCAAGGACACTTTACAAAGGAGAAATTTATATAGATTGACTTCATTGTTTTTAGGAAGGCAAAGCTTGCCTGGAGCTGGTGGTGGCAAGTAAATTCAAGAGCAAAAAGACGAGATTCAATGGCTCATTAGAGAGCAAGGCTCAACAAAGGAAATGCAGGGCTGCTGCTGAATGGGGAGGGTGATTGAACAACAGCAGACACAGGTGAGGCTGGGGGACTCAATGCCATCCTTGCCTGAGTCTTTACTAGAAAGGTCTCAGTGCTCAGGGAAGGGGTCAAATGAGCAGGAGAGCATGTGCTGGAACCTCAGGAAATGAAGCAAGGACGAGTGCCAGTGTGTGACCCTGCAGGACATCCCCCAGCATTGGCACAGGCTGGAGGCACCCGTGTGCCCTGGCAGCAGGGGAGGCCAACTGCCCCAGGGCTTGATGTCCAGGAGATCAAGAGAGGGCATTATCCAGGTTGCTGCGTCTGGATTTCAGACCCCCAGTACAGGAATTACATTGGCAAGCTGGAGGGTGTTTGGTGAATGACCCCGAAGAGAGGCCGGGCCTGGGACACTTTGCCTGTGAGAAGTGGCTGAGGGAGCTGGGCTTGTTCAGCCTGGAGAAGGGAGGGCTGAGGGGCACCTCAGTGCAGCCTGGCAGCACCTATGAGGAAGCCATAAAGAATAAAGATCTAAGCTCTGCACCATGGTGCATGTTTAGAGAATGGAAGATGAGTGTTAGGTGAAACAGTGGATGTTCAACCTGGAGATAAGGAAACGATTTTTCACCTATCTCAGGGCTAGTCCTGAGTACGGTGGCCACGAGCCCACCAGCCCTCTGTGTGCAATGCTTGGTCAGGTCAGAATAACAGAGGTGCCCCCAGAATCAGAACCCAGGTGGGCCTCTTTCAACTTCCTCATCCCCTCCCCAAGGATGTAATTTCTGTTGGGTGGGTTCTCTGATGCACTGGATGACCTCAGAATGCTGCTGGCCAGCATGTCTCCTGAGGACCAGGCAGGCTGCTGCACTGGAAGCGATGTCATCACCATCCCCATTCCAGCCAGCTCCCCTGGGTTGCCTATCCCTTCTTCTCTGTCCCTGTCTTGTCTCTGCTGGGATGAGTGGTTTTGTGATGAACGTCTTGTCCCCAAATTGCTGGGGTCAGCTGCTGGCCAATTTGGATCCTGTAACAGGAGTGGCCTCACAATCAACATCACAATTTGTGGTGCCTTTGTTGGTCTCTCCCCATCCACTCCCTTGTCGACGAGGATGACTGAGGGCTGGAGCACCTCCCCTGTGAGGACAGGCTGAGAGATTTCAGGTTGTTCAGCCTGGAGAAAAGAAGGCTCTGGCGAGACCTTCCATTCCTTAAAGGGTGTCTACAGGGAAGTTGTGGAGGCACTCTACCAGGGAGTGCAGGGACAGGGTGAGCAGTAAAGGTTTTAAGCTGAAAGATGATAGATTTAGTTTAGATATAAGGAAGAATTTCTTATGGTGGTGAGGCAGTGATAGAAGTTGCCCAGAGAAGATGTGTATGTCGCCTCCCTGGAACTTCTCTAGGCAACATGTTCCAGTGTTTCAGCACCATCATCCTAAAACATTTTTTCCTTAAGTTCAGGCCAGCATGGAAACATTTCACTGGTGAAAGGCTCTCGGGGCAGGGACATCCACAGAGAA